ATCAGAAAGACATGCTTTGTGATAAATGTTATCTTTATAATAGATAGCATTTTCGTGAAGGTAGTGCCGACTTTCTTTAGGAGAAAATTTACATTTAACTGGTTTTTGGCATTTCTTGCAATTATGTGTTTCAAGTTGTCTAGTATTAGTTTGGTTACAAATTGGCAATAGAGAAATGAATTTAGTTGTTTTGTTTAGTTTTTTTGTAAGATTTTGGTAGGAGCAGTTATTTCAGAAAGGTTTTTGATATTAGATATATAAGTATTGTTGTTGTTGGAAATGAAGTGGGTATGGAATTTTTTGCAGATGCAGGTAATAATCAAAGTTGAATTGGTGCTCTAAAAAAATGGGTAGCTTTATCACCACTACGAAGATGAATAAAGTAGGTGGTAGGTTTGACACTAGATGGGATAGATTTGGCAGTATTAGAGTTGTTTTCATGGATCCAAATTCCAAAACGGTTTAGGAACTGGTTATAGAAAGTATCTAAGTTGATAGTGTCAGCAGTAGTATGAGTAGAAGTGGGCATTTTCTTAGAAATTGGGATTAAATAGAAAGATAGTAGGATAAGTATAGGGTATGACAAATAATTATAGATATGACAAGTAATTGTAAGGTGTGACAAATAACTACAAAGGTGTGACAAATAATTATAGAGTGTGACAAATAACCACAGGGATATGACAAATAATCACAGGGTGCCAGGTAAACACGGGTCTGATCTTTACGTGTTACAGGTATGTGTATTACGTTAATTTGGTTGGTGCTAAAAGGTTACTTCGTATAAATTTAATAAAGCTAAATTTGTTAAAGTTTAATATTGTACTAGGTTAGAAAAAAATTAAATATAGTAGGTGTAATTAAGAGTAAACTACTAATATTGGGGGCCCGGGCAGTGTGGGTTACATAGTAGAAGTTACACAGAAAACGTATCTAAGTGTTGGTTTAGGAGGCAGAAGACAAAAGAAAAAAAAAATAAAATTAGGAGAGTTTGAGATTTTTTAAAGATAACTTCATCAGTTTTGGGTCTACAAGCTTAAGCTATAGCTTGTTATGATGGGGCTAGTAAGCTCTTTAAGTTTTCTTAGACTTGAGGAAGAGATTTGGATAGCAGTTATGAAGTTATTTGTGAATTTTAAGAAAAAAGGCCAAGAGGCCGTTTTTTGATAAGTTTGGAAGATTTAGAGCTAATACTAGAGTATTATATATATTTTTGTATAAAGAACAAGTTTATTTAAGAGCAAAACTAAGATTAGCTTAGTAAAAAAAGAAGTTATTAGCTGTTTTTTAGATAATTAAATTGTAGAAAGTTTGTGTACAAGTGATAAATGGTGAGAGTTTTTTTTTTTAAAAAAAATTTTCTCATTTCTATTGACTTCACTTTATTATAATTTATATAATAAAGTATAAATCTATTCTAATCTTTAGATCCAGTAATTAAATTTTAATAATTTTAGACTTGTTAAAAAGCTCTTTTTAAAAGAATTATTTTAGTAATTAAATTATTCAAATTGGTTTAGTAGATTAAAAATTATTTAAGTTTAAATATTTTATATAAATTATATACATATATTTTAATATATATAATTTAATTAACTAGTTAGATATCAGATATAGGTAGATGAAGATGAGTTTAAAAATTCTAATAGTACTTATAAATTATGTAATTTCTAAAAGTCTCTTTAATAGTAATACCTCTATTAGTATGATTATAAACTATATAGTTAAAAAATTAGATTTTAATAAGATCTTTTTTAACTTTATTGTTGCTACAACTGAAAATTCTACTAGATCTTTAGAAATTATTTGAAATCTATCTGTAGAAATTGACAATATTATTATTTCTATAAATATTGAAATAGTTAATATTACTTTCTATTTTCTCTTTCTTAATAATGATTAATTTTAAAAAATTAAAGCCAATTATAATTAGAAAATTGGATACTATTTCTTTAAATAAAAGAATAAAAAATATTTAGTTTTTACTACTTATAAGTAAAAATATTATCATACTTGTCCAAACTTAGTTCGAGCATGTTTAAAATACAAACTTATTAAACTTGAGCTTTGTAATTATGTAATTTTAATTAGAAAATTTTAAACTTAGTATTGCTTATAGTACTCATATTAAGTTTAAAATCAATTTTTCAAGCAAACTATTTTATGATTTTTTAATTAAAAGCTATTTCTAATAATATATATTACATATAAAAAATATATATTACACAATTTTTTATTTTTTTATATAAGCATTTTCAATATATTGTTTTTTGGTTTTTTTTTTATTTTTATATAATGATTAAAGAAAAATACTTGAAAATTTTAATAATATGAATAATCTTACTTTTATATTAATATTAATATTATTTATCTTAATATATACCTGAACTGGAAATATATTCCTTAATCTGTCTAGCAGGCAAATTTGCCTGCTTAATTTTTAAAAAATTGATTTTTTTTAATAAAATTTTAAAGAATTTTTCTAACTATAACCCATAGTGATGATCACCAGGGTCACGTAGTATAATATAAAATTAGACTAATATGTATATATATATATATATATATATATATATATATATGTATGTACGTACATATAAAAATTGTAAAGGTACATTATATAACCGATACAAGAGTACTGTACTACTATACTAAACTAACATATCATATATATACAGTACGTATATGTATGTACATACGTATTGTACTCTATATTCGCTTCGTATACATTCTTAACAGATTTACCAGGTATACGTACGTACAATCATATAAAATTATGCTCAAGTTAATAAATCCAATGAAATATAGTTATGCACTCAAAATAATTTAAGATATGTTTATTGAATCATTTAATACAATAACATAGTACGTATGCTTACCCTACTATAGTTGCCATACGCTGCTCGCTTTGCTCGCAGCTAGGCAGCAGTCTCGCGGAGCGTAAATTTAAAAAAATCCTAGCTTTTAACAACATTCTCAACAGGAATGTTTGTTACTACAAAAAACGATGTATCATTTGACATTATGAAAGATAAATTTTAATTTAATACAACAAGGATAGATTTTATACTGCAAATCAAAAATTCTATCCTTGTTGCTAGGCTATATTCGCTAAAACAAAAAAAAAAAAATCTCAAATAGGAATTTATACAAAAATGAACAAAAAAGACTTATCGTTAATACTTATCTAATATTGAGTAGATGTATATGACTTCGCTCTATTATCTAACAATAAAATAAATTAACTAAGCTATCAAAATCATAACCAATAATTATGATTTTGATAGCAGCTACGATTTCAAACAGAATATACACAATGTAAATTGTTACGTAATTCAGAATCAATGCTTTGCAATTTGAAATGCGCTATACTATATTATATAGTATTACCATATTGTTATTCCTGCTTCTTACAAGTGCATGAATTGTGCCCTACCCCACCACATAAATTGCATACATATTTTCTTTTGCCTTCATGGCACAATTTATTCGCATTGTTATCTATAACATAACTATTCAAATCTATATTTGAAGGAGGCATTTCTAAGTTTGGATCTTGAAGATTAGTTGTATCGTGTACCAATTTTTTATGATCATAACTCTCAGAAAAGCTTTTCAACCGCTTAATCGGTGGCCGTCCATGATGTTTTACAACTAAAGGATCCATCACAATTATCTGTTGAGATTCACTAGGTTGAATATTTTCGTTGTCAATATTTTCAATTGCAGACTTTTTCTGATTAATAAAGCTAGACATAATATAGATTAGCTCTTCTTCATATCCAAGTTCCAAAGCAATAATGAGTGCCTTCTTCATTCTTCCAAATCCATTTGCATATCTGGCTTTTTTATTAGCTACTTGTTGATTCTTTATGATATATATATTAGTATCTCTAATTTTTTCTATAATATAAAAATCTGGAACAGCTATGTTGGTAGCTGTTTGCTGAAACATTGTTGAAATCTTAATGCTTTGCGGCTGTAAGTCTTCAAGCCTTATATCCTGCTAATCATCATAATACCAACGTCTTGCTACTAACCCGATGTGAAACTTTGCTGCTTTAGTATTCATCATCACTTGAAAAAAGTGTGAACATATAATACCACGATTGATTATTGTCATGCAAGTACATAGGTATCTACCATCACATAATAACATGACATAGTGTTTGTAAACACTTGATAGGTATATAAGTTTCCAAATTTCAATTATATCACTTAGATTAATATCTTTAATTAGAGCAATAATAGAGTTTTGTGGCCTGTCGAGTTGATTCTCTAAAAAGCCACTATCATAATCCAATTGGAGATTTTCCTAATAATAAAAAAAAAAAAACTAAAGCTTAATGCATGCTATAAAATTTACTAAATTACAAAGAAAAAACAATTATTAGACCTGTAATTCTAGAATATCCTCCATTGGTCGTAATCGTGCTCTATATAAAAGTGAACCAGCAATTTGCTGTAGTTGTATAGCCAATATATAGGGAGTCAAGTACAACTTTAATATATTAGAAACTTGCAAAAATAATGATTCAACGACTGATAGCATTTGACTAGTAGGTAGAGAATTCATATAACTATGATGTCGCACCTACTGAGCCTCATTATCTAAAAGATTCTGTATATGTTCATGTAGGCTACGCAAAGAGAGTGTATATCTAATACCATCTTTGATCAATCGATTCATTACTTCAACACGCTGGGTGCTTTGGATACCTGCTATAAAGCAACTTAGTTGGTAACTTCGAGCCTATAATCTTATACTTCCTTGCAATGTTCTATTAAAATAATTTTGTATTTGGGAATACTTATTTAATAACCGTAACCATCTTCTATTAAAATCTTCCTCGAACATGCTATTTTGTGTATGCAAAAACTCTTTATAAAATTCATCATATCTATTACCAAGTTTACATCTCAAATTTTTACAGATATTCTTTTGTATATGAAATATACATAAAAAGTGACATGTTGTAGGTAGTTTTAGAGCAATAGCGCTGCTTAATGCTGGCTCAGCATCGGAAAATAAAACTACAGGTGGTGTATTATCTGTTGCATTCAAAAGACATTCAAGAAACCATTCATATGACTCAGTAGTTTCATCATCAGATAATGCTTAAGCTACTAGTCAACTCTTTGTATTATTATCAATAACTACTAAAAGAGTAAGATACATGTCAAACCAATTCGTCTTACAAGTGTTGTCAGTTTGAACTACATCAATATAACGTATCAAGTATTGTTGTTGTATCAGGGACATCCAAAACAGTCCTGTAAGGTGATTATTATATGGATCTACCCTAAAATTGACAATCCAACCAGGTTCTTGGTATTTTAAATACAACAAATAATCAACGAATTCTTGTGCTTTTCCCTGACGTTGATTGAGTGGTCTTCTAACCTTTTGAACAGCATTATAAAGATTGCGTTTGTGAATAATATGATCAGAAAATTCAGAAGTTAAAAGAGGTAGTATTTGCTTAGATCCTATTTTTCCTTTTGTAATATAGAATTCTATTTTTTCTAAGATTTCTGATAATAATTTTCTATACTTTGGAGCATATAGCCCAATGTCAGATTGCAGCTGATAATTATGCTCTCCTATTATACTTGTGATAATTACAACTGCAGATTCCTTTGGTTTTGATAAATTTATGTGCCATGGGCACGATATCTTTCCTGAACTTCTATTACGTTGCCGTAAAAGGTCAACAACCTGATTACTAACACATTCTTCAGAATGTATACACTCAAACATACGTCGTCTAACCTTGCCATTATTATTGAATTCTACTCTTTTTCAATGTAGGGAGAAACCTTTAGCTTTTGCATAACTGTTGAGTTGCACTTCAGCTAAATCCCACGACAAAAACGAAGCGTCTACTGAAATTTGAAGATCTTGTTTGTTGCTTTGCTCTATTTCTAATGGTTCACATATTTCTGGTTCCACACCCATACTATTTGTAGGTTCTAAATCTATCAATGAGCTATTTAAAGATTCTAAAGAATCTAAAGAGTTAAAAATTATAATCTAAAATTTTCATAACAAGAATAATGCTACTAGCTTACCTTCCATAATTATAAGTTTCTTTGTAAAGAGCATCACTAGATGTATAATGAAACAATGTAGCAATAAAATAAACCCAACAATTAAAACAGCATAGCACTAAAATAAAATTAGAACGAAAGAAGCGTGGTAACAAAAGGCCAAGAGAATGCAAGACGCGTCACTAATTGGAATGAAAATATGCTAATGAAAGGAACACAGAAACAAAAGCCCTAATTAAAGGTAAAATAAGCAAGCAAGCAAATTTGTGACTGCAGTAAATTAGCAAAACTATATTAGCAATGCAAGCAATTAAGTGAAGTAGTATAACAAGATCCTAAAGAATGCACAACGCGTCACTACATAAAACATAAAAGATTAGTAAAAGGAAATACGGAAACAAAAAGCTCAATTACAAGTAGAAATAAAACAACTAACCAAAATTTGTAATTGTAGTAGATTAACGCTAGTAAGCAAACGGTAAAATAAAAGTAGTATAAATTATTTAAATAAAAGAAAGTAGTAGTTTAATAATATTCGTCATAGTATTACGCGTATCTGGTACATTTTCCCCATGCCAAAATCTTTAGTGAGGTGTTCAAGACCAAGATTTTGGGTAGCAGTTTTTTGATAAGCAGTTAGATATTTGTAAAAGAAGAGATTGCGGAGGCCATTTGACGTTGAAAGAGAGTTGGTTTTGCAATATTTTTCTTTTGCTTGATCAGTGAGTTTGTTAAGGAGAATAGTAGGTATTGGTTTAGAAAAAGTAGTTTCATGATTTTCATCAATATGAAAAATTGAGTCATCAATTTGAAGTTCATCAAGAGTTAAGATTTCTTTGAGATACTCTTGGAAAGAGGTATTTAGGGTGTTTTTAAACAGTGTATTCATATCATGTTTGTGATCGATTACATAGAAGCAGTTTTCATGCTTGCATGTGAGGATATGGAAGTTGATTGTGCAGTAGCATTCATCTTACCGATCTTGGAAGGTATAAGGTTTGTGAAAATGTATAGAGGTAGGTAAAAAGGTTTTGAGCTGAAGAATGAATTGTTTTCAGATTTGGGATTGTAAGTGTGATTTGGTTTTTTCTTTATTAGGAGGGGTTGAGAATTGGTGGCTAAAGACAGGAAAGGCCGTATCAAACCATTCATTAAAGTGGTCTAAGGAGTTTTTAAATGAGGGGATAGAATATTTTTCAAGGAATAAGTTTTTAGGGAGATTAAAGAGGAGGTTAACATTGAGTTTGTTGTCTG